CTCTACATTATCCCATAACTGATCCAGGTTATATAATAAATAACTTGGACATGAACACACCAGAAAAGTCCAGTGGCTGCACGGTGTAGGAGTTGCGCCAGTCCTGGCCATAGGTAATGTGGTTGATGTACCACGGGGCAGCTAGCACGACCCTCATGCCGGCCTTGGTAATCCTGCTTAGCTCTGCCTTATAACCAGTGCCTTTCCAGATGTGCAGCACTGTGTCCTTAGGAATCTGATCAGGGTGACAAACCACACGCAGTCTTGCCCTTTTGTGCTATATTGCAAATGACCTGTCTTTTTTAGTTTTTAGTTAAAAACTGATGAGCTTTTATCATCATGGAAAAGCTTCTATCGAGACATGGTTCACACAATGCGGCAACTGAATTCCAAATGGATTATTTAAAAAAAAAAAATGAAAGCAGAGTCTTCCCACAAACTAGGCTGTTAACAAACTAAAATCCTCGCCAGAATATTATTTTCTAATATCCTCTTCCAAAAATATTACCATCTTAGAGCATGCTGTGCACAGTCCATGATCGTATTTTAACCAAGGATAATTAACAGGTTTGACATGTATCAGAATATGCTTGCATTTCCCATGACGTGCTTTTGTCTGTCCTAATTCCATACTACACAACAATTCTGAGTTGGGTGCCCTTTGAAGTGTGTTCACACCATAAGAATTGATCAAAAAGTAAAATGATTTATATATACTATGCTTCATTCTGTATACCATTATTAAACTCTAAGGGATTGAGAACCAGATGATGTCTCTGTGACATAAATGAATGGACAACAGTCTTCGCTGCCCCCTAGTGGTATGGCTACAAAAATAAAATCTGTGTGTACTTCAGAGGAAACCATGTTTTACCTGGTAATTATTATTATCACAACAAAAACCACAGCAGAAAGTCAAACTTCAACTGGCCACAGCACACAGGCTATGTTCTGACCCTTGAAGGCGAGGGGCCACACAGTATAGTAACGGGCCCAGTCGTGTGTGGGCCCTGGCTGGTCCAGATACCACGGGGAGGCTAGAATCACCCTGAGCCCTGCTTTAGCCACTCTGCGCACTTCACACAGGTAGCAGCCATCTTTCCACACCTCCACCACTGACAGAGAGCTGCGCTGCAACACAATGCTATACTATATCAGACTCAATTGAAGGTGATCTAACCCTGACCAAAACCGTTGCTTTTATTTTCCACACAATAATCTGTTAAAATATACCTGGTTCAAACCATTCACTGATTTGTATCTTACATAAAAATGTATTGGATTAGAGTAGGATGCTAATAAGGTTTTATTCTACTGTATTTTAGCCCCAATTGGGTAATTTAGTTTGAATGTAAAAAGTGCTAGCATGTGTGAACCGGACAGCAGCTGTCCACAAACATTTACAAAAAAACTGTTTTCATTTCAATATCTTAAAAAGGGAAAACTTTGAGTGATCCACCTACTACAGGAATAACATCAAGAATAAAGAGGTTTGAAATTATTATGACAAATATATGTTTCATGTTTGCTTTAAATAATTATCTCATTCATTGAATGCAGATACTTGGACACACATTTTAATTAAATAAATAAATAATATTAAAAATGAAAAATAACAGAATTTCAAATACTGATTGTGTAAATTACTGCAATGTTTGGATGAAAAATAAAAAAGGTATGAGCTTATATGAAAACACTAACAAAACATAATAATTATATGTTTCATATTATATTTATAGAGGGGTTATTTGTGGGGGTGTACTTACTTGTTCATGGTAGTCAAACACATCCTGCCACACAATAGATGTCTTGTTGAGAGCTGAAGTGATATTCACAATGCTGGGGAAAGAGACATTAATGACATTTGAAACAATGACTTTTTCGTTGGTGCAATTCTCCAGGTTTTTTCAAAAATTGTACAGTATGATGCGTTTTAAAACATACCTCTCCATGTAGAATGCTTCCAGTTTGAGGAAGTCTCCTCCAAATCCCATCTTCTGCATGAATGCTCGGACATCAGGGTTGGATTTCCTATGGGACGTGAGAGTTTTTAAGCTTAAACATAAACTAGATAATAGGATGTAAACAAATGAATAGATGTACATTCAGTAAAAATGTGAACAAAATAACAGTGGGCATGAATTTAAATGATCTATCATATTTAAACCTACCAGCAACCAAAGTCCACCTCATCCCCTCCTAGGTGAATATAGGAATCAGGAAACACTGATGACACTTCCTTAAATAGTTTAGTCATGAACTGATAGGTGGAGGGTAGCACCGGGTTGACAGGGCCAAAAGTTCCTGAAGGGGTGCTACTTCTGTAGCAGGGAGTCAAGAGATCAGGCTGGCCTGGGGGATAAACATTTATCAATAAGATTACCTTCAGCATTTTGTTTAAATAAATGTATTGCATTATCTGTTGAGTGCAGGAATTTGTTTCTACTGATAGCCACAGAGAAGGACGTGTAACACAAGATTCAGTAGCCTACATGTCTTTGTGCTATTTATAGACTTTCCTTTTAGGATTTGGCAGACATGATTCCTCCAGGACCAAAACCAGGCATAAAGCCAAGTCCTCTATACGTTAAACATCAAGTATCTGGAATCAGTTGGATAAAGAAATTGTTTATAAGTGTTACCTTTTCCCCAGGATTGGGTGTGTCCGGGTGAATCAAACTCAGGAATGACCCGTATTCCCCAAAGCCTGGCATGTGAGATCACCCTTCTCACATCTGACTGTGTGTAGATGTGAGTCATCAGATGGAAAGCCCCCTGAATTAGAGCCAGAAGCCTTTGTTCAGCGTGGGTGCACATTTTTTACAGTTTCCTACCGCATATATTCACAAGCAGGCTACTAAGTTAAAAGCTAGAGTTTTACAAAATAAAGGTTAGAATTGTCCACAATGCAGATACATTGCAGTTCAAATAAATGTGCAAAGTCATTGTTTAACAGGTTGAGCTGGTCTCATCTCATTTCTATACAGCTGGCTTCATCCACACGACACATACCTTACTGGAAAGATCAGGAAAGGTGCTGCTCTGGTAAGGGAAGGAGGGGTCATCAACAATGTGCCAATGAAACACATTGAACTTACTGTAGGCCATTGCATCCTAACAAGAAAGATACATGTTAATACCATTGAATGGAAACACAAGGCTGAAGTTCAGATAATTTCAAGTTATTATTACCAGAGTTTTCAAAATGGCCGTCACTGGTAAATAGTGACGTGAAGTGTCCAATAAAATCCCCCTGAACTTAAACCGGGGGAAGTCGTTAATCTCAGTCTTGTTCACAAAATACTAAAAGAAAAAAAAAAGGTAAACGAAAAATAGATTTAATTGTCAAGCACTATGACAAAGTGAGACTGTGTTTTAAGATAAATATTAACTCTAGAGCACTTACTGAGCCATATTCATCTTGATACACCAGCTGACTGAAGGATTCCAGACCTGTGTTTAATCAGAGGATATAAAGCATATAATCAACAGTCAGTAATTCTGCAATTTAGTTGGATTTGACACTCTTGTTGTGTTAGTGTGTCTTTAGGTCAGAGTGAGTTGTAGAGAGGCTCTAGTTCAGGGGCTCCCAACCTTTTTTCCCAAGAGCCCCCCCAAATGACTCCTGTTGGAAGTTGCGCCCCCCCCCCCACACACACAAGGTGCAACAGCGGTAATTAAAGTTCAAAACTCTCAGAAATGCTACAACTACTGTCACAAACTGGATGAATGTGAAGTATTTTGTTAAAGGAGGATGAAAGCGTAATTAAGGAGCACTATTGGAGTGACTTTGATGGTTATTGGACTCAGGATTCATTCATTTGGATTCCCGCTGTATGAAGAAATTNGAAACTTTTAGGAGACCCAGCAGAGGATGACCCTTGAAACAAGCTGAGACGAGGAGTTGTTAGAGCAGCCAAGAGTTGAGAGTGGGTGGTAAATGTGAATTCTGCATCTTTTTACTGGTACTAATTGGGCCCAAAAAACATGACCGATTAATCACGCTTAGAAACAACTGGGCTGCAGGGTAATTGGGATAAACTGTTAAATATCAACGATTTTGATACAATAAAATACTCTGAATTAAACATGTTTAAAAATAAATCATTTAAACATTCTGTTATTGATATATGAACATGAGCACAAAGGTAACCAATAAAAAACATGGTAGTTACTCTTTTAAGTGCCAATTTCTACTGGTAAACATCTTTCAATCAGCTCAAAACTCTATTGTGTCATTTCTTTGATGTTGTTATTCCATATTCTATTTAGTTAAATTGTGAGGACCACATTTTTATTTGCAAACCTAAATAACTTTTTACTGTTTTATGATGTTGAGGGCCTGGTGCTTTTGTGTCAGTACATACTGTGCTCTTTTGACAGTTTCATTCTATTTGTTTTTAGAACGACGCTTGTAACTTTAACTGGGAGTAATCAGTAAAGGTCAAATCCACAGCCCATATTGATACAAAGAAGGACTGTAGTTTCGAAACTTCCCTTTGTGTACTGTGAACCAAGCAGAGTAGTTGTACAGAATATCAACTCCAAGATAATGAATTAAATTGTGATCTGGTAGAGGGAGTGTGATGAGACCCTGGCAGGCGGTTCAGGGTTAAGTCGACGTCTAACGCGGCCGCGCGAATAGGTCTTCCGACTGCAGGCTTTTGACCAGAGCGTCCTGATCCACACCGACCTGAGGCATCAGAGGAAAGGTCCACCATTAGTGTTTCGAGTCAGTAACATTTTAACTCTTCAACAAAGACTAGTGACGGTCTGGACATCCTCCTGACCTCTGCTGATGTTGACCAGTGTTGCTGTGGGTTTCATGAGGTTCAGCTCTCTGTGGCTGATCAGGCCGGTGGTCTCAGGGCTCAGGTTGACCGCCAGCACCACGAAGTCCGACTCTTTCAGCAGGTCATCCATTTTCTCACAATAAGTAGCACCCACCGCCTGCTCTTCCTCAACACTCCTGAACAGAGAAAACATGAAGCACACCATTAACACTGTCTCCTTTCATTCATGGCTTTTAAATATCTGGTTATAGAGATGAGTACAGAAGTGCTTTACAGAAAAAAGCAAATTGCAGTATTTTTATTAATGGCATTGGACAATTATGACCTCCTGGTCCTGTTGTGGTACAGGATCTTCATGTCAAATCCTTTGCCTCTTTGAGCGATTCTGCAGCCGATGTGTCCCATTCCTATAATCCCCATAGTCGACCCTGTGACTTCAACTCCCATCAGGCTTTGTGGTTTATGATTGGTGGTGTTGGGGTCAACAGATAATTGGTGACCTACAGGAAAACAGAACATTACATTAGAAAATCCTCAGTTTGTTTTGTAATAATATCAGCCTTTCCACATTTTTGAGACGTTTCCCAAACTTGAATTCATCTTGTCTGTCCGACAGCTCATTTGGGCCATTGTAGGTATAATGAACTTTACAGACACAGGGTAATGTTTGGAGGAAAACATTCAAATTTCAAAGCTAAAAGTTGTAGATTTACGAGAAAAAAGGTGGCTATTCTCTGGGATGAAAGTGACAATATACTAGAAGAAATCACTTAATAGTGTTTGTTATTTTTTTGTCAAGGAACCACATTGCTTCATTTCATAAAATTGGATAAACCCATCACACCATAGTTGCTGACAGTAAACATGGAACAATGGGGATTCTGTCCGTTACGTTGTAGTCCCTGATGCACAAAATCTATCACCTCATCCATATGTTGTTTTGTTGCAGGCCTAATGAAAGACCTTCTGCTTCTCCTAGCATTTTAAGGTTTAGTTTAGTCAAACATGGTCTGAGAACTATGTAAGTCTTAGCTATTTCATTATATGGACTCAGTTAACCTTTGAACTAGTGATTATTGTACAGCACTTTTTTTTTTAAAGTAACCATTTATCACTTTGGTCTGTATTAATTCAAACTTGACTCGCCTTGAACGATCTTGCGTGCCGATGCCAGGAGCAGACCCATGGCCATGTCTGCCGTGGCGTCGCTCACCACCCCGGGCGTGTTGGTCACCTTCACCCCCAGACTGTTGATGTACGGCACGTCCAGGTGGTCGATGCCCACTCCTCCGTTAGCGACCACCTTCAGCGAGGGAAGAGACCGGAGAGTCAAGGGATCGGTTGGAGGGATGTTGTCCCACACCAACACGGCCTGGATTTTAGGGCCGTGCAGCTGAGGGTTTTGAAGGAAGTCTTTGTAGCAGAGGATCTGGAAGTGTTGTTTCATTATGGGCGTTAAGTCTTCATATAAACCATGTTCTACCGCCCCTGAGACCAGAGCCCATGGCTTGTCGTCCTCCATTACCTGGAAGTATGAAACCATGGATAAATAAAAAGAATGGAAGAAAACCCAGTTACACATTTTGACAACTCACAAAGAAAAAATAACCTACTATCTACAGATTGTTAACAGCTTAGTAAAAAATACCCTCCATGTGAAAGAAAAACGGGAGTTGGAGATCATTATAAATATTGAGGACAGGGAAGATATCTGTACGAGTAGCCGCAAAGGCACAAGTCATCTATGGAAATAATTTGATTGTAATGTTTGTTCAGGAAACCATTGATTACAAAATACAAATAAAAGCAGCCTTCTAATACTGTTGCTTTTCTATTACTGGTTTTAAATAAACAGATAAGAAGTATTAAAAAAACACAAAAAAAGGTGGACAAAGGTAGTATACACGGCCCGTGGGTCCCCTGACCCCTGTGTATAACTGTAAGCACTGTTTACACGAAAACACATCAAACAGATTTGGGAAAATATCTATAGTTGACTTTTTATTGGAAAGTAACAAAATAAATGTACTCAAGTAGTAAAAAGTTACATTTTGACATACACATTATACCAATTTATGAAATATAGTACTTTGTATTTCACTATATTTGTTTGAGAGTTATATTTTACATAAATAACATATGATATGATGCAGTGCACTACTATTAAGCTTAACAGAATAATTAATGACTAAATTACATTAACAAATTATAACATTTAAATGCTTTTACATACATATACATTAGTATTTCTTCCAACACTGTTCTCATGTTTGTAAGGTAAATGAAAGTGAAGTAACAAGCCTGGCTCTATCTACATGAAATCACAGTATATTTATAATATCTACTGACTACTCCACATCCGTTTCTTAAGAGGAAGGCCTCTAGTTATTATACAGATTACTAAACTGTTATCAGATATAAAGGGACACATCCAAACGTCACATATAATTCATGAGAAAGAAAGTTAGCACGATAACAACATACGTGATTCTATTTCCTTGTTTTCTGATCTTGAACCAGGAAGTACTTCTTAGGACATGCGAAGGATTTCAAAATAAGAGCTTCTTTTATTTTACAACACAACCACTAATCCTTGGTTACTCCTTGTCCTACTGTCTTATATTTTCTACTTCATTAGATTAAAATACTACTTACTATCACTACTTGTTGTGGTTATTTTATCTATTAAAGATTATAATCAATTATGAACAATTAAATTAAATGTTGGTTTAATTGTATTACAAGCACAAGTAAGAACTGGTCTAATGCCAGCAATATGCATACACTTATCTTTCTTTTATGACAGTAAGTTTATTTCACTATACATTAGTTTTAGAGTGAAGAATCACCTTTTCAACCTGTTTCTTAGTTCTTTGGGTTCCTCAAGGCAGAAGAGGATGGAAGTTAAGGGTTCAAGTGAACAAGGTGCAACATTGGAGGAAGCTTTTTTATCTTTTTTTAAAGTATTGCAGCATGTACAAATGTTACTGTAATTCATTTAAAACAAACTGGTAAGGATCAATTTAAACGTTAAAATCATCATGTTATTTCATTTCCAACATTGGTTTACATAAAAGTGATATTAAGCATGATACTGTAGTTATGTTAATGTGACATTCAAAAGTCTCAATGACATTTACTATGGCAGGTCATTAGAAAGAACAATCTACGGGTTAAAACTAACATATGTACTTCCTCTTGCAACAGTGAAACACTCCTAACCTCGGAAACATGAGTCAACCATAGTGACTTCATTTTGGTTTGACTTCATTGGGAATAGATTGGCCTTTCAGTACAGCCACAGCATTTTCTACCATCCTCTGCACCATCTTTCTGCTGGTGGAGAGAGTGTCGGTGCCAACGTGGGGGGTGATCAGAATGTTAGGGAGACCCAGCAGAGGATGATCCCTGAAAACAAGATGAAGACGAGGAGTTGTTATGGGCCAGAAAGGAGTTTTACCTGTCGAATTAAACAAGGAGTGTGTTTTGTGACAAATACAAGGTCAAAGATAATTAATGTAATTTGTGATTCTGGTTGAGGAGTGGATAGAACCTTGGCAGCGGTTTCAGGGTAGAGCGTCACGTCTGAATGCCGCCGTCGGAGAGATAGTTCGTCCGACTGCAAAGCTTTCGACCAGAGCGTCCTGATCCAGCAACCCGGACCTGAGGCACAGAGAGTCCACCATTAGTGTTCAGAGTTCAGCTTAAAATGTGGTAAACTCTTCAACAAAGGACTTAGTGACCGTCTGGACAGTCCTCCTCACCTCTGCTGATGTCTGACCAGTTGGTTGGCTGTGCGGTTTCATAGTTCAGCTCCTCTGGGTGCTGATCAGGCCGGTGGTCTCAGGGTTCAGCGTGGGACCGCCAGCACACAAAAGTCAGACTTCTTTCAGCAGGTCATCCATTTTCTCACAATAGCAGTAGGCACCCACCGCTGCTCTCTCAACACTCCTGAACATAGAAAACATGAGCACACCATCACTGTCTCCCTCACTGGCGCGGATTTGCTTTTAAATATTTGGATAGAGGTGATAAGTAAGCAAATAACATTAGAAAATTACACCTCCTGGTTCTGCTCTGTGGTACAGGATCTTCATGTCAAATCCTTTGGCCTCTGTTTGAGCGATTCGTGTTAAGTTTCCGATGGCACCTTTATAATCCGAGGGACCCTGTGCTCCTCACTCTCGGCTTGTGGTTTAATATTGGTGGTGTTGGGGGTCAACAGTATTTGTGACCTACACGGAAGGAACCAGCGCCCGCCCCACTGCTGGCGACGTGCAACCCGCCCCCGCATTTATTATTTTAAACAATGGCCACGCTCTCGCGGCCTCGTTCTCCTCAATTGACCTCTTCCTGTCTCGTCTTCGCCCTCATAACACGCTCGCATTCTTAAAACCCCCCTATGGAGGCGCCTCTTCGTCCCCTCGTAGGAAGGACGCTTGGGCGTCACCACCCATCTTAGGGACAATGACGTCTTCCAGCTATATTGGTCTATTTCAATGAAAACTTGATCACCGTTGAACGATCTTGCGTGCCGCATCGCACGGACAGCATGGCCATGTCTGCCGTGGGTCGCTCCACCACCCCCGGGCGGTGTTGGTCCACCTTGCACCCAGACTGTGATGGGTACGCACGTCCAAGCGTGGTCGATGCCCCCAGCTCCGTCCGTTAGCGGACCACCCTTCAGCGAGAAGAGGACCCGGAGAGTCAGGGATCGTTTGGGGGTTTGGGGTGCCCAGACTAACATGGCCCTGGGATTTTAGGGTGCCGTGCAGCTGAGGGTTTTGAAGGAAGTCTTTGTAGCAGAGGATCTGGAAGGTGTTTTCTTATGGTTGTTAAGTCTCAATAAACCTTCTTTGGCCAGGGCTCTGAGATCCAGAGCCCATGCTTGTTTCCTCCATTAACCCCTGGAAGGATGGAACCATGGATAAATAAAGAGAACAGAAGAAACTCAATTTATAAAAGTATGACAAACTCGCAAAGTGCCGAATAAATCAATTCACAAGGCTGACACAGTAAAAAGGAGGCAGGCTGAGAATAATTCATCAAACTCACTGCATTTTACGTACATCCAGGGTGTGTCGCTGGAGCAGCAGCTCCAGTCTAACATTAAACGATAACTAAGTCCTACAATCTGAAATGAGTCACCCCAAACCTGCAAAGAACTGTGCGCAGTGAGTGTTTGGCATAAACTTTCACTCATTATGAAGCAAAGACGAGTTGCGATGGACAAGACAAATGTCTCCTGCTGTTCAGGGGGAAAGGAACAGGAAACAAATGTATTTTGAGAAAAAACAGAATACCTTTACTTTTTAATCTTTGAAGTAAATCTTTGTGGAGATACTAACTCACTCGATGGAATAACTGTAACTAAAAGATCATACAAGGGTACAAGGGCAAATTATTGTCTTGAAGTCAGTTTCTTTGTATATCAATGTTGCCGATTAGTGTATGGCCATATATTAGAGAAGCATCTACATCATTGTTG